TGTGACTGGACGGAAGTGCTCCGAAATAAGTAGAGACTATCTCAGCCCCGTTTCCTGGCTGCACTGAGGAAGCAGCACATCTGCACAGGATGCATCCCGGAGCTGCATTAGCAGCAGGAGAAGCACGCGACCTGCTGGCCAGTGGTAGACGGCAGCAGCCCATCCTGGAGAAACATCCAATTCTCTCACCCTGCCACAGGACCCCAGATGAGCACAGCTCACAGCTCCATCTGGCTCCTCTTAACAGATCCATGCACAGGTGATCAGACACAAGGACCCTCCACATTTTGCTTGCAGTGCCACCTCCTGGGGAAGGCAAAGCTGTTCGAGAAAACACTGCAGTTTCTCTGTCGTGGCCAAGTTCTCACTACACAAAAGCAATGGTAGTTTTTTTGCTACCCCTCAATACACAAGGATGCCAACAGTCAGAAATCCAAGGCCTCCTGAATGCTAACCAACATTCTCAAAAGAGGGCTGTTATTCTTTCCCTTTTATGCATGTTTTTCTCATTTCCCAGTAGACCAGATTCTGATTGTTTTTTCTTTGCTACTGATGCCAGGTAAAGGATCCGAGGTAAAATGCCCCTGTTACAGCCAATTTAGAACTCCAAATGCCAGAGTCATGAGTCACAGCAGCACTCAGAGAGAAAAAATGAACAAAGTCTGTGCAAGAATTTCAAAAGAAGCTGGAGATTTTGAGCATGTTAATTTTTTTGGAAGCCAAACCCAAGTTGCTTTAAAGAGGCCTGATTTTTTTCTTGGAAAAAAAAAAAATGCTGAGCACCCTCCAGGCCCCTTTAAGGATCTCTGCATGGGTAAAAAAAAAAATTAAAAAAAATCACTAAATCATGAGCAAAATATTCTACTTTTGAGGCCAATTTGCTTCCCAAAGAGACAGCTTGACAGCAATGGAACTAGGTCACTTTGCAGCCTTCTGAGACTTTGCCTCTGGAGGGCAAAAAGAGCAATCGCGTGGTTCAAGGCTTGTAGTCAGCTGCCTGGGTTTGCTGCTCTGAAGTCTGGCCATGCGAGACTTATGACACAGGGAGAGCAATAATTCTTGCCTACCTCATCAGGGTGTCATGAAGCTTACATCCTCTAATGCCGGTAAAGCACTTTGTGATCAGAGGATGGATTGCGCTGTCAGAGCTACAAGGCCGAAACGATCGGTAAGGACACAGTAGCTCAGTGCATATATCCTGGCCAGCATCCCTGAGTACTCGCTGAGGCCCAAAGCAGAAATCGGCTGCTCTCTGCCAGGCTGCAGGGCATGGTGGAGGGCACGCTGGCACGGCTGAGCCTTTCATTGACTGTTTGCTTCTTGTATTCACACAATTGGGATTGTCAACACACCCCTGGCAGACACAGCAGGCGTTTTACCTGAACCAGCTCCTCGTGAAGGGCCCCTGCATTTTAGGTTTTAATATTATGGTGATAATGCAGCAGAAAGCACTGAATAATATTTATTTCCTCTTCCCGCCTCCTGCTGTCTCCACAATTCCCAGCCTCTCCAGAGCCTTCCCCAGCTCTCCTTCCACATGGACGACCCCTCACTCCTTGCGTGCTGGGCTACAGAAACAGCTCTGCTTCAGCAGCCTTCCAAAAATTATGTCCACCATCCCCAAACTCCCCGAGCTGTACTGTGTGGGGCCTCTCCTCGTGCGAGTCAGCCCACTGAAGTTAACGCACGTTTTTTTAAAGGATAGAAGACCAGGCGCTTAATATTATGAATGACCCAGGACCGAGACTGCCTTTTCTTTGTACAGCACGGAGCTGTACACACTGTCAGCGCTCCATAAGTAAGAGGCTAGGTCATGTATTCCCAGGCTCCTGGCCACACTGCAAGCCAGCACCTCAAAGCATGGAACTAGCCTGCTCCTATAGACAGGCCCCGCAAACCTTCCTCAGTACATTTCCCTTGGAAGCAGCCCTTTCCACCATAATTTGGCTGGGAACACGAGGTGAGGCGATGCAATCGCCACAACTACCATAGCAGCAGCAAGCAGAGAGAGGTCCTTGCTTGCATCCTGCAGCATTCAGCAGACTTGATTTTGCTTAATCAGTTCAAACCCCAGGAATTCTGTTCATTTGACTTGCAAGTGCAAAGTCAGTGCAGCTGCTCTGAATCTCTAGGAAGTTGGGCTGGAAGTGATTTGCAGAAGTTACCTAGCCCAGTGGGAGCCAACTTTTTGGGCAGGTGGGCACAGATTAGCTCCCCAAGTGCAGGCTGGCCACCCCTTTGCTCCAAGGCAGGATCAGCTCTACCCAAACCATTCCTGACAAGGGTTCGTGCAACCTGTTCTTAAATCCTCCCGTGACAGATTCCACACCGTGCCTCAGGGATCTCCCCCTGCTCCACTAGCTTCAAAGCGGAAAAGTCTGTCCCAGCATCTGATAGAAATCTCCCCTGCTGCAATTCATGGCCCTGGCTCCTTGTGCTTTCCCCAGCTGACAAGCAGAATAGTTCGCAACCTTCCTCTTGGCGGTAACCTCTGATATACTTGAAGACTCTTATCGCATCTCCCCTCGATCTTTTCTTCTCTAGACAAAACAAACACAGTTCTTTCAATCTTTCCTCATTAGTCATATTTCTGATCGCTTCTCTGGCCTTCTGCTGCATTCTTTCCAGCGGGTCCACATTGGCTTTTGAAGGGTGGTGCTCAAACCTGGGCAGAGGCCTTCAAGCTGAGGCCTTACCAGTGCTGCATAGAGTGAAAAGATTGTTTCACAAAGCAACCTTTTCACAAATGGACTTTGAAACCCAGGGGAACCACAGCATCCCTTACCTCCCCTGTGCAAGATGAAGTTTCTTTCCTACCTGGAGAACTTTTACAGTCTTTGAACTCTCCTCTGCCTGAAGAAGGGTGTTTGGACCCAAAAGCTTGAAAAAAAAGACATTTTTTTGCTACTATTTAGTTGGTCTAATAAAAGATATCGCCTCTAGTACATGAGTTTTGTCTGCTTCTGTTTTTTAGATCAACACAGCTATAAGCTATATCCCTGAATGATTGCTTCATGAAGTCTTGTTTGTATGCCCCACTATGGTGTTTGCTTTTTTGATGGTAGCATGACATGGTTGACTCATGTTCAGTTTGCCATTCACTAGACTCCCCAGAACCTTATCTGCAAAACTGCTCCCTAGCCAGGCACTCTCTATTTTGTATCTGTGTGGTTAATTCTGCCTACTTAAGCACAGTAATTTGCACTTGTCTTTATTGAGCCACATCCTATTTATTTCGGACCATTTCTCTAATTTGTCAAGATTGTTTTCAATTCTAGTCCTATCCCCCAAAGTGCTGGCTGAACCTACCAGTTTGATATCAGCTGAAAATGTTAACAAGCAGACTCCGTCCTTTGAACCAAATCATTAATGAAACCACAGAACAGCAGTAAACCCAATGGAGAGCCCTGAGGAACACCAGTTGCAACATCCTTCCAGCTTCAAACTGAGCCGTCAATAACTCTTCTGAGTTCAGTACAACCGGTAGGAAAACAGCAACCGCATCTCAGCTGTATTTCCCTAGCTTGCTTATGAGAACACTGTGTGATATCATGTCAAAAAGCCTTACTAAAGTCCAGATGTATCACACCAATACTTTTCTATCCTCTTATACTATCATAGAAGAAAATGAGTTTGGTTTGACATGACTTGTACTTGAGAAACCCACGTGGGAGGCAATTTATCGTTCTGTTATCTTCTGCATGTTTACAAACAGATAGTTCCAGTATATTTCCAGGAACTGCAGTTAGGCTGACCCATCTATAATTCTCCAGGTCTTTCTTTTCTGCCCTTTTCAAAAATAGGCGGTGTGTTTCCCCCCCTCTGGTCTTCTGAAACTTCACCAATTCTCCATGAATTCTCACAGACTAAGGGCCCTGTGATTGCTTCAGCCCATTCCCTAAGCACTCTATGGCAAATTTCACCAGGCCTAACTCATTTGAAAATCATCTAAGTAGTCTCTAACCCATTCCTTTTTAATTCTAGCCTGAGTTCTTACTCCCTTATTGCTGAGGCTAATTATGTTATTAGCCATCTGATCACAGTTAACCTTTTCATGAAGACTGAAGCAAAAAAGGCATTAAACTCTTCAGCCTTCTCAGCTGTGATTAGCTTTTCCTCCCCTTTCAGGAACAGACCAATTCTTTTCATAGACACTCTCATATTGCTAACGTACTTAAAAATGATGCTTTTGTTACCTATGTCCCTTACAGTTGTACATCATTTTGGATCCTGGCCTTTCTGACTGTGATCCTACATGCTGGTGCTATGCTTTTTTCCTCCTCTTTAGTAATCTGACGTAGAAAAGATGGAAAATACTGATTCCCTCCTGAGTTTCAGGTCATTGAAAGGCTCATGATTTAGCTAAGTTGCTCATGATTTAGCTAAGTTGCTCCTAAGAGAGGGAGAGTACAAGCACTGTGGACACCCGGGCACCAGTGAGAACAGCCGACTCCATGCTGGCAGGGGGACACATTTCAAGCAAAGCCCCCTCAGTCATAAGGTTAAAGGAGGCAGGAGGGGTTTCAGGATGATTCTTGTTGTCCTAAGGAGGCCCTTGGCTATGCAGCTCTTTGCAGGTCTCCCTGCTGCTACTTGGCAAGGGCGTGTTGAAAGCTGACACGGGCCAGAGAGGAACAACAAGGCTGCACATGTCTGGCAAGCACCTACCTCGCTTGCTTCCTAATTTTGTTTGTTCACACAACTCTACACATCCACCCTGGGCAGGATAAGCCCTGCAAGAGGAAGCGCTCAGCTTGCCTCAGTGGTTCCATCCCAAAGCCCCCCTGAACTCCAAATGCACGCGGAGAGGAGAAAGAGCATGATGTGTCCTCTGAGCTTGTACAGGGAAAGAGACACACCACCTGTCAGGTGAGCTCCTTAGAGGCAGAACAGCTGCTCAGAACCAGGCCAGACACCATTGCTGCCTGAGCAGGCATCAAGCCTAAAAATAACTCACATAGCAAAAGGTCTCTGGGATGGGAAAGAGATGCAGAGCTTACCACGTTCCAGAAAAGTGGGTTAAAAAAAATGCACAGGACAGCAGCGGTGAAGGTGCAGTCAGTCACTTTGACGTAGCCAAGGAGCCAGGTCATGGCGGAAGTCTCGACCTGCAAGGAAGGTCACAAAATTAGCGGGACGTGCGCCTGCCTGGACAGCACTAGCCAGCACCTAGAGGACTGAAGGCAGCACGGGTCGTTAAGTGTTCAGCAAGAGGCTACATCAGATTTGGTGATGCTACTGCAGTATAATCAGCCTATGTGCAACCCTCCAGCCCTAACAGCAGCAGTTCAGGGTCTGTTGGGTGCTCACAGCCAAAGCAAAGCTAACCGGGGCCAACACCTGGATCGGATATCTCCTATAGGCATTCTTGTGCATGTCCCACAGCATAAGTCAGGAGGGGAACCTCAGGTTCAGGATCCACAGGGGGTGCTGTGCTGTGCTCAACTTCTGGATGAGACTACATTGAAGGTCAAAGAAATCAATGCCCTGCTGGAATCTAACTCACGATTTCACACTGTGCAAAACTAGCCCCTCTCCAGGACATCGGCCAGATACAGGACAATTCTTCACCTCCTGTCCTAAACTGCCAAATAGCTCTCACATTTACCTCCAAATGGCTGCACTGCAGTGGAAGGTGAATCCTTTAGCTGCCCCAGAAAGGTGCTGTGAGAGCTTGTGAAGCATTTTGCAGCTTTTAGGATATAAAGTACAAAGTATTACCCCAGCTGCCTCCAGCCTGGTCACACATTCCCTGATTCTGAAGTGCTGAGTGCTTCCATATCATCAGCTTTACTTGGGGAGCTCAGACCCTCTAGAGACCTGGGATTTAACCCGTTCCAGCCCGCAGATTCCTATCAGCCGTGACAAAGGGGCAGAGTATAGCAGAGTGCTATTAAGGTAGGTACCACAATACTGGGGAAGCTGGGAAAATCCACATCTGTTTCAGAGGCAAATAATAACAATGGTGTTTCAGCTCACACTTAGAGGGGAAGGATCAGGGTACAGCTAACAGCACTGTACCAGGACCCCAGCTCTGTCCCTATACAACCTGGATGGCACACACCAAAGCACCCCTCAGGTTCTCCTTCTGTAAAGTGGGAACAATACTAATGTACCTCCCCGGGGTACTGGGAAGGGAAATTCACCCCTGTTTGTAAGTAGAGCTAATCAGAATAAATGTTAACGTACTTTGTTTTTTTGAACCATGCCCATCCCAAACAGCAGCCTCTCTTCAGGGAGAGAAATTTTTCATTGCAAATTATCAACATCATAAGCATTTTCTGTAAAAAAAAGCCAGGTTGCCACCCCTTCCCCCCCAAAACGGGTATTGAGTGCATAGGAAGTTGCTGTGTGCCAACAGCAAAACCCTGCAAAAACCGTGTTGGAAAAAACAACATTCCACTCCCATTTGGATCAAATTAAAATGTTTTTTAACCTAAACCCCCCTCGAAATGTCAAAGGCTTCTGCTTTTCAAGCGGGCGCATTTGGAAGATTTCAGAGATGGTGGTGCTGGGAGGGGTCCAATCTGAATTAAAAACCCAGGAGCTCAGGTTGGGGTCAGTTCCCAGAGCAACCTGAAATGATCCTGGCACATGGTGATATTGATATTTCAGTGTGAGGGAGTAATGAGGCTTCTTGCCTAAAAAGCACATCGGGCATTAGCGTGAAATCATCTCATCTCACATGCCCGGAAAAAAGGGAATTTGAGCTCCCAGCTTCCTCACGGGCCCTCGGAAATCATGGGCCGCGCATAGCAATTTGTGAAGAAATGAGCCGTTAAATCAGAGGCTGTTTATTTACAGCGAAACCCCCGTCCTGAGATGCAAAAGCGCCGCCCCGAATGGCATTGGGAATCCGTTCCCTTGCTGTGCTTCTACAATTCTGGCTGCTCTCCTGCAGTTCTGGTTGTAAAGCTCCCGCTGCGAGCTGCCACATAGGGCGTTTTTCCTAGAACAGAAGGCAAAACGCCTCATGGCCACGGCAAAAGCCAGGGGGAGGTCATGGGGGCTCACTCGTGAAAAGCATTTACAAGTGCTTGGCACTGGGAAGGAGCTCCAAGAACAGCACACACGTGGCCTGACTCTGACAGAGCTCCCACGGCAAGGCTGGAGCCACGCGGGATCCCAAGAGGGCCCCGATCCCCAGTCCCTCACTCTCCGATCCAACCACACACACCTCTTCCCCTCGCCTTGGCTCATAGTTCACGTCCTCCATATGCCAAGTCCATCTCACCCTCCAGGTCCCCACCTTACACAAAGGTTATGGCTACAGCCATCGTCCCCTGTCTTCCAACCCCTGGCACTAACTCTGGCCTCAAGTTCAAAGAGCTCATTCTCCTCCCCCCCGGCATCTGCTCTGCTACATGGCCACCTGCTCCTCTTACTTCCATCCAACTGCCCTAGACCTCCGTTCACATTACTCTTCCAAGAACCGAGCTGCCCATTACCAAGTCCCCACTTCACTCAAAGACAAGCATCATCAGCTGCAAACAACACACTAAGTATCCAGCGCACAACACGTCCAGACTGCCTGGCCCGTGTCTAATGTGCGTGTTGTGTAGCAAGGTCTGTTTCTGCTTTTCTCCAGCATGGAGCACGCTGTCAGTGGTTGAGGAACAAAAGCCCCTCTTGCCAACCTACTCATTCATTGGCGGAAGCCCCATTAAACACGGCGCTGACTTTCTTTTCTCCTTCTGAACCGCCACGGTCTCAGTCACGGGCACGCAGCAGATTGGGCTGTGATCGGTTGTGCTTTTACGGGCAAGAGGGGAGCCTTTCAGGACAATCTGTCTATCCAAGGGGCTCAGGATGTCATGTAATTAAACGCAGCACAGCACACTCGAACCTTGGCTCCCCAACAGTCATTATGTAACTGCAGATGTACAAGACGAGGACTCCTTGCAGCAAAACAGCTGTTTACTTGCCGCCCAGAGCTAGCACAAGAAACCGACCAGGGGTGGAGAGACAAAGGGATAGAAAAGCTATATTGGCACATACTATAGCAGGGCTCAAAGGCATGGGGAGCTGAACTTTGATGTCCCAGGCACTGGTGAAACAAGGCCCGGTTCTGCAATCAACTGCCCAGTGGGCAAAGGTACCTGCAGTGCTACAGAGCACAGGCCATCCACGGGCAACCCACTGTAAGATGGGGGGCTTCGGAGACAGGCATGGTCCCGGCCTCTGATAAATGTACTAAAAAGAGCAAGGGAAGAGGGAGAGGGTCACATCTTTATACGAGGGGCTGTTACAAATAATGAACTATTCCCTACAACTATTCTTGTCACTTCATGCTGGCATCAAGGCTGGTACCCACCACGCTTCCAGGCTCTAGAAAACAAGGCCAATTAAATGGAAAGGATTTGTAAGTGCCTGAGGGGGGTACACTCTCCAAGGGGAAAATTTCATAGACGTTATAGATTTCATAGACATTAGGGGCTGGAAGGGACCTCGCGAGATCATCGAGTCCATCCCAAAATGGTTCTGATGACGTTCCCAAGGGGCTGGGTTGCTCCTATATAAACCAGGAGGATCCAAGATGGATGCAGCAGGCCAAACCGAACCTACCAAGATAACTTCTCTGCACCGGCATTTAATCTGCCCTAAGATGACCAGGTAAATACTGGAACTGGAGCTCTAAAAGGTCACAAAAATAAAAGCAGGAATCTCGGGCCGCTCGTCATACAGCCAAAGGAAAATATCCCTGCTACTCACACATGCTGTCCATGGAGGGAGATGAACCAGATAAAGCCTAGAGATTTCTTCCAACCCAAATATTGATGAAAGCAGACGTACTGTGCCGGTACACGTGTGGTTGGGCTTTTATGATTCTGTTCCTCCCTACAACCGGGTAGTTGACGGCTTGCTTCCCTTCTGCAGCAATTAGGGGTTCACCCCTGCAAGGCACGGAGAGTCCTCGATACCCAGAGCACGTTGCAGCTCCCACGCACGACAAGGCCTTTGAACAGCTAAGAAAACAGGCTTCTCCCCCGGCCTTCCCCCCACACCCTGTGATCCCCACAATGAGCAAAGCAGCCAGATTTTTTTTCCAGTCAACACAAGACACCGGCATCTGCCAAAATGTGACGGGATTATTTCAGGAGAGGAATGCTCCGATCCCGCTGAAC